TTTCTTGAGTAAGTCTTTTTGTGATGACGTTGCAGCCTGTGCTTTGACGGAGTTCTGTGAAATGAGTGCCGACGCGTCCCTCTTGGATAGTGGTTGCTGTGGCAGCTGTACGTTGAGCCTTTGCAACCGAGCAAGCTGTGCTGCAGTGGCCTGCTCTCCTGCTGCATGGCTGTCCATAAGCTGGCTGGCCTGGCTTTTGGTCAGTTTGTTGATTTCGTCCATGGAAAGTCCGCGCGAGTGAAGCACTGCTTGTTGCCAGCCTGATGCAGGTTTTTCATTGTATTTATTCTTGAAGTCTTCATAGTTTGCTGACCTGTTGCTTAGGAGTCTTGAGCATTCTCCTATTGTGGTAGGCCAGTGGTAGGCCAGTGACATATCATTAAGGTATGCTTCTTGTTTTGGGGTTCGTTTGTTGTCCGGGTGTTGGGTGGTGCGACATTGTGTTGTGATGCTGGTGGGTGACGGTGTGTGAAAACCAAGGCTTTGGTACTGCTGGACGGATAGTCCCATAGCTTGAGCCTGGGACTGATGATTAACAGGTGTTGTTAAAGGGTTGACGGTTGGTGACATTGCAGGTGGGACATGGGACAGGCGTCTAAGGTCATCATAATGCACAGTTTGTGAGAGGCAGGAAGACAGTAGCAGCAACAACAAATGCAGGCTCAGCAGTAGTATGAACCATGGTGCTTAAGGGGGTACATGTGCCTTGAACATGTGTTGTGTCAATTGGATGTCGATGGGCAGGATGTGCAGCTGCTCAATATCCACAAATCGTGACAGTGCTACATATGCTTGCCCTAGTCTGTTCATGTTTATAAAGTCAATAATGACGGGATCAGTAATGGTATCGCCCTGCACCTTGTGTACAGTTCTTGCAAACACAGGCATGACGGGGAACATTTTGCGCTCAAGCTTGGCGCCATTCTTGTATTTGACCTCGCATATCCTTGGCAGGCGGATTATGGATTGGGAGTCCAAGAGCTGGAGTGACAGCATGGATTCAGTGATTTCCTGCACGATAGCTAAAGCACCGTTTTCGATTTTTGGGGCTGACAGGTTTTTGGTAACCATGACCGTCATGCCAGCGAGGTAAAGGTGTTCTAAGAGCATGCCTTGGTCTTGCATTGCTTTGTACAGATAAGCTACGTCATCGGGCGTATACCTATTTCCTTTGTGAAGCTTGTCGGCAGCTGTAATGTGGTACAGCTGTAGTACAGCTGTAATGTAGTCAATTGCAGTGCTATCTTTTATCATAATAAGCATGATTGCTTATTTAAAAGCTATAATGAACAGAGTGAATTGGCCATTAATTAGGTATTGTTCTGCACAGTAGTCTTTGGAATTTTTTAAACATGCCACAATAATAAGTTGCAGGCTTACCGGGGTTATGCCAGAGCTTAAGAGCTGAGCGAAGTATTCCAGCGCAGCTTGTGGTGGGGGTGGTGGAATACCGTAGTGCTACTTATAGTTCGTGATCGCTTTGTTCGGGGAGGGGTCAAAAAACTTTCTGAAATTTGTACGTGCTCTTTGAATTTCGGGGAAGGCCGGACCAGATTTTGCGGGCATGATACAAATTTCGGGGCCCCTTCCAAGGTTTCGGGGCTTTTCAAACTGCAGCTTCCAGTCAGTCTACCTCCACCGGGAACCCTTAGGCTCATGGTCTCTCACCATTTTCGCACGTTGGAAACGCCCTAGCAAATTCTGGACCGATCGTACAGCTCAGTACCAGTGGCAACGACCTAATAACCAACCGGCCGGGCCAATACAGTGTTTGGGATTTGTTGAAGAGGACGTCCAACAGGTCGAATGCCAGGCTGCGGCGTGAGCGCAAGCCTCGCCTCGCCGGCTGCCGTAGCATTGACCGCATTGCGCTCGCGCCTAGCAACCTCCTCGTGCTACATTCGCTCACGCTGGGCCTCGAAAACAGCATCATCAAGCCTAACTGGTACAAATCCAGCTCGGTCGCTCACCGGAGCGTTTGGTGCTAGCGGTTTCATCCCGCACATTGAAGCAGGGTTGCCTGTCTTGCACGTTTTCCAGCGTTGTTCATGTCCTACGTTTATGACTATATTTTATGTAAGAGCTGATTTACGCCTTGAAATCCTAGTTTTTGCGAAGTTTGATCGACCGGCTTCGGAGGGTACGATATTCCGGGGCTGCGGTCCCTTGGGATACCTTAGAATTTGTACGTGCTACATATTCGTGGTGCCTCCCGAATTATTGTAGCACGAACTATAAGTAGCACTACGGTAGCTCCGGAAGGAGGTTGTGGAAGCGCATTTGCTGGTGCGACTGCTGTTGGTTGTTGGCGTTTGGTAATGGTAGGAATTGCGGGTGCAATGCGCCGACAGATGCTGGCTTCATAAGCCATCCATTTTGAGCTGGCACGGTATTAGGTGACTAAAGCAAGTCATGTTGCTGCGTCTCATCGAAGGATAAAGTAGCAGCGCCAGCGATAGTTGGTGGATGCTGGTGTTGTACTGCTGATAGAGGAGAGGTGGCGAACGGTTGGACCATTTGTTGGATTGCCTGTGAGGTCGTTGCCGCTGCAGAATTGTGTTGCTGTATTGACGGTGTGGATATGCCAGCAGTAGCAGTAGTGTCTACGGCCAGCAAATCAGGATACAACTCGGCCGTAAACTCGTCGACACGTCTGCGTTTCCTCTGTTGGTTTTCATTGGTCGCAGATGTACCTGTTTTGACGATGTCATCAGTAAGAGGGGTTTATTGCAGGTATTAAAGCTTGCCAGGACAAGCGACCAATATACCGTTCATACATATTCTTATTGCGAAAGGCACGATACCGTAGTGCTACTTATAGTTCGTGCTACAATAATTCGGGAGGCACCACGAATATGTAGCACGTACAAATTCTAAGGTATCCCAAGGGACCGCAGCCCCGAAATATCGTACCCTCCGAAGCCGGTCGATCAAACTTCGCAAAAACTAGGATTTCAAGCCGGAAATCAGCTCTTAAACACATAAAATATAGTCATAAACGTAGGACATGAACAACACTGGAAAACGTGCAAGACAGGCAACCCTGCTTCAATGCGGGATGAAATCGCTAGCACCAAACGCTCCGGTGAGCGACCGAGCTGGATTTGCACAAGTTAGGCTTGATGGTGCTGTTGTCGAGGCCCAGCGTGAGCGAATGGAGCACGAGGAGGTTGCTAGGCGCGAGCGCAATGCGGTCAATGCTGTACGGCAGCCGGCGAGGCGAGGCTTGCGCTCACGCAGCAGCCTGGCATTCGACCTGTTGGACGTCCGCTTCAACAAATCCGCAGGTCAACCATGGCTCGGCTGCAGTTTGAAAAGCCCCGAAACTTTGGAAGGGGCCCCGAAATTTCTGTCATGCCCGCAAAATCTGGTCCGGCCTTCCCCGAAATTCAAAGAGCACGTACAAATTTCAGAAAGTTTTTTGACCCCTCCCCGAACAAAGCGATCACGAACTATAAGTAGCACTACGGTATGTAAAAGAACACGTGAAATGGTTATTAGTACAAGACACTGAGAAATATTGGTTCGCGATCAAAAACAGTTACTGGACAAATGCTTTTGTACGCTTCGGAAATTTTGTACGATTCCACCACAACATACTAGAGGTTAACTTTATTGATAACTCACACGCATGTCTGAGACGTCCTGAGAAGAGAATTTGACGCCTAGCTACCTCTCAATCCCGGGGATGCTGTCCGCGACCCTTGCGAGTGAGATGGTTATCCCATATGAAGAAAAAGTACAGTTTGTATTCGTTTTCTTGCCTAACTGTTGCACGTGCCGGGTCAGTTCATCAAGGGTACCTGGTTTAGCCTTTCGGCGTTTGTTAGCCCGTCCATCGCCGCTGTCTGACATCGCTCTTTGCGGTGGGCGCCTGCTTTGGAGGAATAACTCTAATACTAAAAGTCTAACTAAATGTTTGAAGGCATGCGGCGCGAGGACTGACTGGCACGAGCATAACATGCCGCTCAAAGATATGCAATATATTGTAACGGCTGCGCATGGAATTGTTTGCATGGCCTTGTTGCATGATGATAATTGTTTTGGGGGGTTCAAATCCTCAAATGTGTCAAATGCCAAGCCCGAGGAAATCTTTGCATGACTATTATATTGCTTATTGTTTTGGGGGTCAAATCCTCAAATCCCGTTGGGATTTGACCCGGATTTGCTTGGGAATTCACGAGGTCAAATTCAGGGATTCCGGCCCCGTGAGGGGCCTCCTTCGGAAGGTACGTATGATACAAATGTAAACACGGCAGTCATTCGATAACTCACCAGGTATTATCATCAGTAATAGTAGCAGCCCAACAACGAGGAAAGCCACGCTCAGCGCTGCAAATGGTATTGGATTTTTTCGACGTAGCAACCGAGTATGTTGCACCGGCCTATGCCGTTGCGTGTTTGCTGCCAGAGCTCCTTGAACTGTATGTACAGATTTACAGGAGCATTCGAGTAGATTAGTAGACATAAATTATTCTACATTAATGACTGCTGAATGCCATGAACTACAGGGTGTTTCGCATGCAGGATTGTATGGCATGGTTAACGTGGTCCGCAGGTCAGAACGTAGGCGGAGTAGAAAGCGAACTCACCGGCAGCAAGAATGATCATCCACCAAGCGAAATGTGTTAGCATAAAGGTCGTGGAGATGGACATCTTAGCACTACCTACAGGTAGCATAGTACAGCACGATTACGACTTTGCAAAGGATTTCAAAATGCCTGTAAAGGCTTTATTCAAATACAAAGCCGGTAGAAGGCGTAGTAACAAGCTCGTCGACTTCGTACGACTAATATCGACGCGCACGAAAATGACTAGGTAGAATCTCCAACAAGTGCCTTTTACGACAGAGATCACGGATTTGCAGCTCGAAAATGACTAGCGAGACTCTCCCTAGGGGTGCTTGTACGACACAGATGAAAAAGACTTGCGAACGTAATAAAGACTTGCGAACGTATTGAAGGCGGGGGCAATTGTTAGGATACATCAGTGGCAAGACTATGGATTGGCTCAGCCTGCGCGCGCCTTTGGAGGCGTGGCTCAAATCTGCTGGAGCTGCTAAGTTCAGCGACGAGGACCTGCGCGTGCTATGGCAGGGTGGATATAATACGCTAGTCGACCTGAAGGTCGCGACCCGGGCGAGTCTCGAGCGAGCCGGGCTGAGACCGGCGCGAGTGGATCAAATCCTCAGCGCTCAAGGTGAGTTCCTGCTGTCAATTTCCAACTTCAGACATGCCTTGTTTTGAAACCTAAACCTAAAGCGCACAGCTGCAGCCTAGATGCAAGCCGGCGGACGAACAGGCGTACATAGGCAGAGAAGCCGCCAGCAAAGCCAATAAATCAAAAGATCGAGGCACTTACCGCTGCTCCGGACCAAAGAGACCTAAAACTCGCGGACTGTGTCCATTAGGGTGTCGGAGAAGTTTTCTGCATAAGCGAGGATTTCTGTCCTACAGCCGGTATCGTAGCCAAGAGAGGTCTTGCTGTGATGGGTGATCTTTCGTAGACCTGTTTGCAGTGGACG